TATAAATGGGGGAAAAAAAATAGGCTTGAATTGAATGTTACACCAAGATCGGAGACACTATTAGTCCTTAGGAGCTTATTATTATCAACATAGTAATCTTTTAAATAAGGTCCTTTTTTAATGCAATTTAATTTATATTTTGGGATGTTTTCGCTTGGTGTTCAATATGGCTCCTGCCACCATCAGCTACGAAGAAGGCGTAGCCAAGCTTTCACACTTTCAGGGATTTGTCCAGTGTCAAGCTTTTTGATTTAAATAATATTTAAATATATGAAAAATATGTGAAAAATATACCTATAAAATAGCAAAATATGCCATATATGCAGTAAACATTTTGCATAGACTCTAATTAATAACCATTCAGATGTTGTGGAATATTTTCTGGAAAAATACTTTTGGAACAGGTTCGCATCGATGACGCAAGTAAAAGCAACCATTATATCCAGTTTTTTGGTTTAGTAACATTGAATTTTTGATTCAAGAAGTTAAATTAAATGCAGTTAGGTAGGTCAAGAGTTTCGTTGTGAAAATAAACTGCTTTAAAACTGTCGTGTCTTTACTACTTTTGCTATGCTAATCTGGATTTTCGTTCTTTGTGTGATTATTATCACCACTTCGGTTCTTTGGAAGAAGCGATGGTTGTTATATCACGCTTGGAAAATTCCTGGACCATTTTCAGTGCCACTCGTGGGAAGTGCGTTCCTGTTATCGGCAACAAAAGATAGTAAGTAATAAAATTTAGTTTTTTTTATTTTAATTACTATCGAAAGAAGAAATGTAACACACATTTATTTATCAGATTTTTTCGACCTGCTTTGTGGAAAGCTGGACTCCTGGAGACCAGTTACCAAATTCTGGGTAGGCTCCCAGTTGTACATAGCGACCACGCGACCGACAGATGTAGAAAAAATATTAACAAACTGTCTAAACAAGTCACCTTTCTATGACAATTTTAACGACATAATGAAAGACACCTTGCTGACCGCAAAAGGTACTAAAATTTCTTTAACGCACAGTCATAAATTGTAAAATTCGCAGTTAGCATCTGGAAAGAACATCGAAAAATGATCAATCCCTCTTTTAATTTGAAGATCTTGAATTCGTATCACGATATCTTTGTCAATTATTCGAAAGAAATGGTGAAGTTTTTAGATGACAAAGAAGGCGTCGAACAAACGGATTTCCTTCGAGTCATATGGGAAAAAACACTTGATGCAGCTTTAGGTAAACTTGAGGAGATTGTTTTTCTTATTACAAGTTATATTGTTGTCTATTATTGTTTTAACAGCAACTTTAACCAACGTAAAACCGCATCTAGTAAAGGAACGACAACGTACTATTACACTCACCGTGAAGTAAGTCTTTGATTCTGTTTAACAGTTTTTATCAGTTTGGATTTCAGATTCGAAGAAATACTTATACAGAGATTTCATACGTTTTGGCTTCTCATAGATTTCTTTTGGAAATTATCCAGCTTACACAAGGAGCATAAAATGGTTTGTCAGACTGCTCACGAAATTGCTGAAAGCGTAGGTTTTATTAATTATGTCACAAAATTTTAACTTTTATTTTTGTCTTTCAGGTAATAGCAGAAGAATACAAATCATATGAATCCGAGGACAGAAATGGTATGTGTATAAAGTCACTATTTCTTAAAATTAGTCGTTATATAAAAGTTTATTTTTACACAATTGTCACTCAATAAATCAAATTTTGTAGAAATATTTTTTTTTCAGATGACACGATTGAAAGTAAGCGATTTCTACCAAATTTGACGAACTTAAATCGAACCAAGCAGATCACCCGTGAAGAAATTTTGGAGGAAACGAGTTTTATGATGATGGCGGCAAGCGAAACGGCAGCAATCACTATCAACACGGTTTTAACGATTTTAGGAATCTACTCAGACATCCAAGTAAATTACGCCAAAATAATTATATCACGATGAAGTTGTTCTTTTAGGAAAGAGTTTACGAAGAACTCGTCTCAGTTGTCCCAAATATCGAGAACAGTCCAACTCAGGAAGAGATCAATCGTCTGGATTATTTAGAACGCGTTGTTAAAGAAACTTTGAGACTAATTACCACAATTCCTTTCATTTTGCGATATGCTGACGAAGATATTGAATGCGGTAATATATTTCAGACGGTGGATCCAAAGAATACTTTTTTCGTCTTTTTCTCAGATCCTTATGTTTTCCCTGCCGGTTCTAACCTTCTTGTTCCTCTAGTGCTACTACACAGAGATTCGGAGGTATGGCCCGACCCGGAAAATTTTGATCCAGATCGGTTTCTTCATGATGAAGTTGGGAAAAGGCATCGTTGTTCCTACATTCCTTTCAGTTTTGGTGCCAGGAACTGTATAGGTACGTATTTGGCAGCACTGTTTTTTCTGTATTTTTGTCTTAGGTCTAAAATTTGGAATGATGCTGGTAAAAGTAATGGTTGCGACCGTTCTAAGGAACTTCAAAGTACGAACTGTTGGTATGAACTCATGGAAGGACATCCAGTGGGACTATATGGTTATGCTGAAGACTAAAAATAGTCGTTTACGTTTCGAAAAAAGAAAATTTTGATCGCATGTATTTTTCCAAATGTAAAGGTTAATCAATATATCGGTAGTTTTTTAACTATGAAATTTCAACATGGCATCCTACAATAGAATTCATTTTCACCAATTGGGATATGTGTTATGTTTCTGTTTCCGTCTTCGTCTGATACACTGTACGCACTTTCGCAAGCAAATATATCGTCGGTACCCAGGAGCGAGAAATATTAAGCTTCTCCGCCTCCTCCTTGATATAAACTTATTTTTTTGATCTCCACCAAAAACTCGATAACAATTTTTCAGAGAATTATTAAGTAGTTGAAAAAAGTGAAGTTATACTTACACACGCCGTCGAATAGCTTGGACCCCAATCGCGCGCATCGGCAACCCCCATAACAGCAACAAAACTGTCCTTAAATCTACCAATCCATATAGGGCGACGAAAAATTTTTGTAAGAATCTCATTAAGATAATTTACAACGTTGCCAGATGAGGCTAACACAACTTTGCCGTCATTTCTAATCAATTATTATTTACAATGAATGTTTTTAATACATAGCACAATTTCTTGATATTATTTATTTTTATTTCAAATAATTATCGTGTTTTCTTTAGTTTTAAGCAAGAAAATTTTTCCCTAATTATCGACAAATAATATACTTTTTTAAGACGTTACATGCCAATATTGAACTAAATAAGCTTTTCCAACAAGAAGTCATTTTTATGTGGTTTAGAATTCACTCTTTGATCTCCGGACTTTCACTTCGAGAAAAGAACTATCTCAAAGAAAACAAACAGTGGAAAAAATGGAACAGATTAACAAACTCTTTTTTATTTCTTCTATATTGCTGCGAGAAGGAAGTATGGCGTATTGTACATTTCATAGTAAAAATGTCGATCCGGCTTAAAATTTGACCTACCTGATTACGTTAACAAACTAAAATTTTCATTGAATAGACAGACTGTTATACGAAACTTTACTAAATCTCTTCATTTACGAACTATTGAAAGACCGCTGGTCTCGTTGATGGTTCCTACCTACTTCAATGTGAAGCGAAAAATATTTCTGCAATAAAAATAAAATTTAAAGAATGGAAATATAATAAATGCGGTAGTACATTCGTTTGCGTAATATGTCGTTCTAGATATTAGGTATTTTCCAAAATAAAATTTACTTCATTGAAAACAGAAACATTAAAAAATCGTATTTGTACAAGTTTGGCATCTATATGACCCGTTGTTTAGAATGTGGAAATATGCTTTTGTTCGTATTTCCAATTATTACGAAGCAGGTTATCAAATAATTCATTTTCATATGGCGGGACTTTCAAGCAGCAGAAAAATTCAAAACCAAAAATTTTCATTGAAGAAACAAACTCTTCCAAGAAAATTTACCAAATTTCTTAATTTGCGTTTGCGCATTATTGAAAGAACACTCTTTAAAACAATCAGTATAATATTTTACGTAATATAAACATTGATACGTTGAGCGGGTAAATAAAATCGGCGTGGGGTAAACTCAACAATTTATTTCTTACTCGAATTTACACCAATAACTATTACAGCGATTATGTACAAAATAACTCCGGCGTAACTTGTCTGGACACTCGCTGGACCCGACGTGATGACTTCGTCCTCCTCGTTCTCGACGGTGGCCTCTACTCAAATATAAAATAAATTTTTAAATACCCGTTCCTCGTAACAATATTATTATTATTAAAAACTTAATTTTGTAACAGGTTTTTCTGTAATGCAAGTCAACACCAGTGCGTAATAATCTACTTCGTATTATCTAACAACAATTAGTCATTGACGTTTGAACAAAAACTAAGTCGGTTTAGTCCCAGGGTATAATTTTAAAAGCTGGTAGCAATTCGCATTATTTGAAAACTGTCCTCCGCTTACTCCTTTTGCTATGATGACCTGGATTTTCATTATTTCTGTAATTTTTATTATCATTTCGATTCTTTGGAAGAAGAGGTGGCTGTTGTATCATGCTTGGAAAATTCCTGGACCGTTCTCAGTGCCCTTGGTGGGAAGTGCGTACCTGTTGTCCGCAACAAAAGACAGTAAGTAACAAAATTTCTTTTTTCCACTCGAGAAACGTCAAAATTTATTTTGTTGCACTCCTCACCTAAAACCGTGCGTGCTACAAAAATTTGTTTGTGGCACAAAAAATATTTTTCAGGTTTTTTTGAAGTAGTTTATCGAAATCTGGATTCGTATAGGCCGGTTATAAAAACATGGGTGGGCTCACAGTTGTACATAGCTACCACGAGACCGGCAGATGTAGACAAAATTTTAACAAATTGTCTAAACAAGTCACCTTTCTATGAGAATTTTAACGATGCAATGAAACACAGCCTACTGACATCAAAAGGTAAAAAAATGTCATAAGCGAACACTGACAAATTGTAAAATTCGTAGTCAGTATCTGGAAAGAACATCGCAAAATGATCAATCCCTCTTTCAATTTGAAGATCTTGAATTCGTTTCATGATACATTTGTTAGTTATTCAACTGAAATGGTGAAGTATTTGAGTGACTTAGAAGGTGTAGAACAAACTAATCTTCTTCCAGTCATTTGGGAAAAAACACTTGATGCAGCTTTAGGTAATAAAACATTAGCGAGTTTGCAATGGTCTAAATTAATTAAATTATTTCACTTATTATTCATTTAAACGATATTGTTTTTATTATTAAGTAATATTGTTAACGAATATTCTTTTAACAGCAACTTTAACTACCGTAAACCCGCAAGTGATAAAGGAACGACGACGTTTCATTACAGTTACCGTGAAGTAAGTATTTCTTTTTGTATAAAAGTTGTTATTGATTTTGATTTTAGATTCGAAGAAATACTTATACAGAGATTTCATACGTTTTGGCTTCTCGTAGATTTCTTTTGGAAATTATCCAACTTACACAAGGAGCATAAAGAGGTTTGTCAAATTGGTCACGCATTTCTCGAAAACGTACGTTTATTTAGGTCACAAAAATTTTTATTTTAATTTTTGTCTTTCAGATATTATTACAAGAAAAGAAACAATATGATTCCGATGACATAAATGGTATGTGTTTAAAACCATTACTCATTTACTGTTTCCTAAAATTTGTCGTTATATAAACGTTTCCTTTTGAACAGTCAGTCAATAAAATTTTGAACAAACGAGAACAACTGGATTGTTATTCTTCGTTCACGATCTTTATATAGTAGGGTTGGCCATGAAAATCTAGTGAGTTCGTTGGCATTCGATGCAGAGAATAAAAATTCCCTGAACTTTTTTTGTTAGGTTATGGTTTATTAAATTAAAGGTTAAAAAATATGCCAGAAATATAAACATTCTCGCCGATCCGCGTGGAGAATAGTAAACCTTGATCCTTCAATTTTAATTTTAGTGCTTTTTAGATCAGTATCGTGCACTCAGCGACGAATGGACGAACCATTTTGATAGATCCATGTTTCATCCAAACACACGAAAGTCAAATTTTCGCAAGAATTTAGAAACTAAATATGTTTCAAAAAAGTAATTTTGGCTGCAACGACATGTTTTTGTTCACATAGAATTTTGCGACCATTTACTTCCCCGTGTTTATAACCCATTGACTTAAGAATTTTGTATAATGTGGTTCGCCCCCCTTTAAATTCCAACTGTTCCCTAGAATATGCCAAAAGAGTATCTACAGTGAAATATTCGGTTTTCTCATTAAGTTGCCAAATTTGTCGTTGCAGGCCTTTCCGAAACATATAATTTGTAATTTAATCCGATGGTTTTCGCTTGCCAGATAGCGATGTTTATAAATTTTGGTCCCCTCTTGATAAAATTTTCGCCACAGTTGTTTCCACCTATGAGAAATAAAATTAAAAAATATTTTACAGCGAATTTTTACATTACAGAAAATATGTTCGAGACCCTCATAGTTACTTTTTCGAAAGAAAAATCGGGCCTGTCTTTTCGAAACTGCAAAAAAATCTGTTTATTGCAATTTTTTGTTGCAGTAAAACTATTTTAGGCATTTTATTTTTAAATAATGTCGCAATGATCTGTGAATCTGTCACAATGACAAATTATCTATGCTGACAAAATTAAAATATTTGTTTGCTTGATTAAAAAATTGCGTCTAATAATTCTGATCTAATAAATGAAGTAGAAAAGTGGCAATCCAGCTCAAGCAAATGTCAATCAGACTACTGACAGACAAAAAACTAAATCATCAAATCAGGTTATCCAACTTAAAGAAAAAATATCAAAGCCTATTAGTTCTATTTTCAGATGATACTATTCAAAGTAAGCGATTTCTAACAAATTTGATTAAATTGAATCGAACCAAGCAGATCACCCATGAAGAAATTATGGATGAAACGTGTTTGATGCTTATAGCGTCGAGCGAAACGGCAGCAGCCACAATCAACACGATTTTAACGTTTTTAGGAATTTACTCAGACATTCAAGTAAATTATGCAAAAACATTAATACAACGATAAAGATGTTCTTTTAGGAAAGAGTTTATCAAGAACTCGTCTCAGTTCTGCCAAACATGGAAAACAGTCCAACTCAGGAAGAGCTCAATCGTCTGGACTATTTAGAACGCGTTATTAAAGAAACTTTGAGACTAGTTCCCACAGTTCCTTTCATTTTGCGATATGCCGACGAAGACATTAAATGCGGTAATGTATTTTAGAAGATGGATTCAAAGAATACATTTTTCGTGTCTACAGATCCTTACGTTTTCCCTGCCGGCTCTAACCTTATCGTTCCTCTAGTGCTACTACACAAAAATCCGGACGTGTGGCCTGAGCCGGAAAAATTTGATCCAGATCGGTTTCTCCCCGATGAAGTTGCGAAAAGACATCGTTGTTCCTACATTCCTTTCAGTTTTGGTGTCAGAAACTGTATAGGTCTGTATTTACCAGCACTGGTATTTTTTTTTACTTTGTCTTAGGTCTAAGATTTGGAATGATGCTGGTAAAAATAATGGTTGCGACGATGCTGAGGAAATTCGAAGTACGAACTGTCGGTATGAAATCATGGAAGGCGATCCAGTGGGAATATACGGTTGTGCTGAAGGCTAAAAATAGTCGTTTACGTTTCGAAAAAAGAAAATTTTGATCACATGCATTTTTCCAAATGTATATAATGGTAGTCAATGTATCGATTTTTTAACTTTTCTTTTTATATAAAAAAATTATCTTTCAATTCTCTTACAATACAAACACGGAAAATGGTTGTCACCCTTTTTTTTTGTAAAAATTTGTGTCAATAAAGTAACTATAACCTACTTTAAAAGGGACATTTGCCCGCCAATTTTAGCACTTTACAAAAGTTCGTTCTAAAAGTCCGAGAGGCGCTGTCCCCTAATTGGTACTGAAAACATGGGTGAAGGTTGAACTGTTTTACATATCTCTAGTTCATACTCCATGGAAATAAGTTTTGCTGCGTTTTGCGTATCAATACACGGATTGGGAGCATTCGTCCAAAAATTCTCATTAACCCACTACAAAATTTTATTCTGAAGATATTTAACCGTTTCCATACATTCTAGCAACCCTGTAGATTTTTTAAAACCATATATCTCATCATGTATTTACGTTAGTAAGCAAGTATTGATATCCTCTGTGAAATTCCTTGAAAACTTAATTTTGCAACATGTTTTCTTTAGCATGGCAAAATATACAACAGTGGGTAATTATTTAAGTGGTGTGATTTAGCAAAACAATGAATCCTTGACGTTTGAACAGAACCTAGGTCCAGTTTAGTACAAGCCGTACAGTTTTAAAAGCTGGTTACCACTTAAACGAATTATTTCGAAGCTGTCGTGTTTTTACCCCTTTTGCTATGGTAATCTGGATTTTTATTTGTGCTGTAATTTTTGTCATCATTTCGGTTCTTTGGAAGAAGCGGTGGTTGTTGTATCATGCTTTTAAAATTCCTGGACCATTTTCAGTGCCCCTCGTGGGAAGTGCGTTCCTGTTATCGGCAACAAAAGATAGTAAGTAATAAAATTTAGTTTTTTTTTAATTTTAATTACTATCGAAAGAAGAAATGTAACAGACATTTATTGATCAGATTTTTTCGACCTGATTTGTGGAAAGCTGGACTCCTGGAGACCAGTTACCAAATTCTGGGTAGGCTCCCAGTTGTACATAGCGACCATGCGACCATCAGATGTAGAAAACATATTGACAAACTCTCTAAACAAGTCACCTTTCTATGAAAATTTCAATGACATAATGAAAGACACCCTGCTGACCGCAAAAGGTACAAAAATTTCCTTAAGGCACAGTTATAAATTGTAAAATTCGCAGTTAGTATCTGGAAAGAACATCGAAAAATGATCAATCCCTCTTTTAATTCGAAGATCTTGAATTCGTATCATGATATCTTTATTAATTATTCGAAAGAAATGGTGAAGTTTTTAGATGACAAAGAAGGCGTCGAACAAACGGATTTCCTTCGAGTTATATGGGAAAAAACATTTGATGCAGCTTTAGGTAAACGAATTTTGCTTAAATTTTGCGTATAGTTACTTATTTCATTTTTACCCACTTAAACGTGATGATATTGCTTTTCTTATTACAAGTTATATTGTTGTCCATTATTGTTTTAACAGCAACTTTAACCAACGTAAAACCGCATCTAGTAAAGGAACGACAACGTACTATTACACTCACCGTGAAGTAAGTCTTTATTTCAGTTTAACAGTTTTCATCAATTTTAATTTCAGATTCGAAGAAATACTTATACAGAGATTTCATTCGTTTTGGCTTCTAATAGATTTCTTTTGGAAATTGTCTACCTTACACAAGGAGCATGAAGTGGTTTGTCAAACTGCTCACGAAATTGCTGAAAACGTAGGTTTTATTAATTACGTCACAAAATTTTAAGTTTTATTGTTGTCTTTTCAGATAATAGCAGAAGAATACAAATCATATGAATCCCAGGACAGAAATGGTGTGTGTATAAAGTCATAAGTCATTTAATATTTGTTAAAATTTGTCGTTATCTAAACGTTTATTTCTAAACGATTGTCATTCAGTAGTTATTTAAAATTTTGTAGAATTAAAAACAGCAAGATTGGTTGCCATTTTTTTTTTCAGATGACACTATTGAAAGTAAGCGACTTTTACCAAATTTGACTAAATTAAATCAAACCAAGTTGATCACCCGTGAAGAAATTTTGGAAGAAACAAGTTTTATGATGATGGCGGCAAGCGAAACGGCAGCAATCACAATTAACACGGTTTTAACGATTCTAGGAATCTACTCGGACATCCAAGTAAATCACGCAAAAATATAAATATAACGATAAAGATGTTCTTTCAGGAAAGAGTTTATCAGGAGCTCGTCTCAGTTCTACCAAACATGGAGAACAGTCCAATTCAGGAAGAGCTCAATCGCCTGGACTATTTAGAAAGCGTTGTCAAAGAAATTTTGAGACTAGTTCCCACAATTCCTTTCATTATGCGATATGCTGACGAAGACATTAAATGCGGTAATACATTTTAGACGGTGGATCCAAAGAATACTTTTTCGTTTTTCCAGATCCTTATGTTTTCCCTGCCGGTTCTAACCTTATCGTTCCGCTAGTGCTACTACACAGAGACCCGGAGGTGTGGCCCGACCCGGAAAAATTTGATCCAGATCGTTTTCTTCATGATGAAGTTGGCAAAAGGCATCGTTGTTCGTACATTCCTTTCAGTTTTGGTGCCAGGAACTGTATAGGTACGTATTTGTCAGCACTGTTTTTTTTTGTATCTTTGTCTTAGGTCTAAAATTTGGAATGATGGTGGTAAAAGTAACGGTTGCGACGATTCTGAGGAACTTCGAAGTACAAACTGTTGGTATGAACTCATGGAAGGACATCCAGTGGGACTATATGGTTATGCTGAAGACTAAAAATAGTCGTTTACGTTTCGAAAAAAGAAAATTTTGATCACATGTATTTTTCCAAATGTAAAGGTTAATCAATATATCGGTAGTTTTTTAGCTATGAAATTTCAACACGCCATCCCAACAATAGAGTTCATTTTCACCAATTGGGATATCTGTTATGTTTCTGTTTCCGTCTTCGTCTGATACACTGTACGCAGGTAAACGTATACCAGTGTACATGTGTACTGTATGTACTTTCGCAAGCAAAAATATTGTCGGTACCCAGGAGCGAGAAATATTAGGCTTCTCTGTCTGCTCTTTGCGCGTTTCCAAAGGTCCATAAACAATTGAGATATAGAATAAACTGGACAATGACTAAAATTTACTGGTGTGAACTTTTTGAATTCGCAACCTTCATTTTCTTCTTCATTGACTTCTTATTAATAATTTATTACACTTTGGTTCTTTTTCACATATCAGACATAATTTTGTATACATAAACATAACATTAGGTACACCCGGTTGAACCAGTAAGATGAACAGAACCCTAAAAAATGGTCTAAGTTTATTTAGACACCAAAAACTCGGTAACAATTTTTCAGAGAATTATTAAGTAGTTGAAAAAGGTGAAGTTATAGTTACTCGCCGTCGAATAGCTTGGACCCCAATCGCGCGCATAGGCAACTCCCATAACAGTAACAAAACTGTCCTTAAATCTACCAATCGATATAGTGCGACGAAAAAATTTTGTAAGAATCTCATAGTAACCTTGAAGATAATTTACAACGTTGCTAGATGAGCTTAACACAACTTTGCCGTCATTTCTAGCCAATTATTATTTACAATGAATATATTTATAGCACAAGTTCTTGATATTATTATTAAGACCCACCACTGACCCGAAAATGACCGGCATTCAGGCAAGACTTCTATCATTACGGGTACTAAGACCAAGTAATGATATGCATTGATTAGATTAACAGAACAACTTTCGAGATTCTAGAATTACAGCATACAAATTAGTCTGCTATTATTCTCTAATCTCACCCCATCCCCAAAAGTCCAGCGTAACTACCGACCATTTATCCGTGCATCACATGAAAAGTGACCTACACTACTCTGACCTACTGGTGCTAATCTAATCTAACTGACATGATCAGACTGTTCAAGAAACTTACGAACAATATGACATGTTCCTAACAAAACAGCTTTTTGAATTTTGACAATTATTGAATCATTCAAATGCAAAGACTTTAAATTCTCAACTAAGCTATTTGGAACTACACCTACATTAGAGATAACTAGGGGTAGAATTGAAATTTTTTTAAGATTCAACATGGATTTCATTTCTATCGATAATTGTAGATATTTTGAAATCTTGGTGTCGTATGTTTGAATAATGTTGTTTGTGTTAGGAATAGCAATGTCAATGAGAATGGCTTCGTTCGTGTGTTTTTTGATAAGTATGATGTCTGGTCTGTTAGCTGTAATGTTTAAGTCTGTAAGTATTGTGCGATCCCAGTATAATTTGTATTTGTTATTTTCAAGGAATGGAGACGGAATGTAAGTGTAATAGGGTGTTGTATCTTCGATTAAGTTCATAAGTGTTGCTAATTCTTTGTGAATGATTTTGGCTGTGTTGTCGTGTCTAGCTATGTAATCAGTTTGTGCTAGGATGCTGCAAGAAGAGATTATGTGCTGGATCGTTTCAGGTTTTGCTTTGCATAGGCGACAGCAGTCGTTTTTTATGTTCGGATCTTTGATGATGTATTTTCTATAATTCTTGGTATTGATTACTTGGTCTTGAATAGCAAACACAAATCCTTCTGTTTCGGCATACAAACTTGATTTTTTTAACCAAATCAATGACATCTTCTTATTGACATGATTTTCTTCTAAGTCTTTGTAGAATTTTCCATGTAGTTGTTTTTGTTTTAGCCCACTTATTATTTTATCTATTGTGTGAGGGGTGTGGATTTCTTCGGTGTTCGACAGATTTAAGGGTGTGTGGTTCAAATCTGCTCTTGTGATGGTGCGAAACATTTCATTTCTTTCCGCTCGTTTCAAGAAATACTTCTTCAAATCTGAGATTTGTCTCTGATATAAGTTTTCTAAGTTCTGGAAACCCCTTCCTCCATTCTGTCTTGGTAATGAGAATCTTTCAATCGACGATTTTGGGTGATGCCTTCTATACTGTGTGAAGATTTTCCTTGTTGCGATGTTTAAATTTTCAAGAT